TCTATAGTATACTGTATGCTAATTTCTACAAATGTTTAAGATCTGTGCTTTCAAATTTTGTTCCTCACTTCCCTGTGCTCAGGGAGAGCAGGATCTGACAGCAAGGATGGGGGAAGAAGTTGAGGGGAGGCAGAGGGCAAGGGGGCTACCTGCCCCCCCTTCCCCTATTTTTTTTCACTACTAGAGCAATGGGAGGCAGGGTTCAAATTCAAGGCAGACCTCCAATACTTAGATTCTGTAGTGGAATATTATAACAAATTTTATAAATTTTCCATATTTAAAATATAATTATTGGGGAATCATCTTATAGTCAGGGCTGTCTTATAGCTGAGTAAATATGGTGTATTGTTTGATGGCATTGGATTGTATTAAAAGTTTAAAACAGTTAAAATAATATGCCGTAAATAAGAGAGAGTAGGGTTGTTCTGAGGTTTTATCAGCTCTTATTTTCTTTAACTTTCACTTATAGATTCAGCCTAATGCATGCCAGTAAAACTTCTGAACCATGCTACAAAAGCGTGCCTTGTTTATGTTTGTTTTATATTGGTTGCTTCATTTCTGTGTGGTGATAGAGAAGTTAAGGTGTATTTCTACAGCTCCAGAAGTGTGACTTCACAAGAAGGAACTAATAATCTTTTCATAAAATTTTGTTTGATTTGAGTGTATTTTTCCTTGTAGTTGGATTTGCTTAAAGCAGTTGTCCTGTATAGATTCCCTAATGTGCTTTCCTTCCACTGTTCTTGAAGCCACCATAAAAAGGTCCACAATGTGTCTAAGAAGTAGATCTAGCATATAGGGTGAATAAATAATAGGAGTAATCATAGGAATATTAAAGAATCATGTTGTTGTTACAGTGAAATCTCTATTATCTGGCATCCCTGGGGTAAGGGGATTGCTGGTTATGTAAAAACTCCGGTTGTCTGAAATAACTCAGCAGGGTTTTAAGGTAACGTGGAGCTGTGGGGGTGGCAGTGGCTGCACACGGCTGCTGCAGGGTGCAGCATGGAGCGACGGCAGCACGGTTGAGCGGTGCTCAGGGCAGTGCATGCAAAGCAGCAGCACAGCTGCCATATGCAAGCTTTTCTTCCCCGCCCCATCCCCGATGTTCGGCCGGTGGAACGGGGGGGGGGGGGTGCAGGGTGGCAGCAGCCACATGTGGATCAGCGACAGTGGTGGGTGGTGACAGCAGCCTCTACGTGCAAGTTTTCCCCCCCACGTCTGGCCAGATGGCCGGAAATTCAAGTTAGTAAAGTATTCCGGTTGTTTAAATACTAGATAGCAGAGATTTTACTATATAAGTATTTAATACATTGATCATTAAAGACAAATACAGTTCTCAGTTAAAATAGTGGAAGACCATCTTGGGGGTCACTATATTAATATAGTGTCTATGTAAAATAAATGACCTTATTGATGTCAGTGGATGAGCTGTTCTTGTGACCTCATGAGCACTAAGACGAAAAGAAATGTAAAAATCTAGAACGCTCGGTTCAGAGGTGATACCTTTTATTATACCAACTAAGAAATCGCAAAAAAAAATGTCTTTTTCCAGAAGCTTTTGGGCTTATGTGCCCAGGCCAGAAGAAGGGTGCATAAGCCTGAAGCAGCAATGGAGCCATACACTGCCAGGTATCAGAGCCTGTGCAGACCGCCTGCTGCTGCCACTGGTGGAAGGGGCTGTGCGCCAAGGGAGGGGTGGGTGTGTGTGTGTGGGTGTGTGTGGGGGGGGGGG